GGCAGTGTCCAACGCTCTCGGCCACTCGACCAGCTGCCATAGAATCCAATGGATGTAAAGGAGGCTGGGGGAGGAGGACGGCTCAGCTTTATGGAGCACAGTGTGAGCAGTGCTGTGCTCATGTACATACCTTGCAATGTCATGCATTCTTTATGCCCGTGCCAGAGGGGATGTTACAAGTCGATACATTAAGCTCAGCTGTGTGGAGCCAGCTACTTGGCTCCAGGCAGCTGAGCTTAATGCATCGACTTGTAACATCCTCTCTGGCACAGGCATAAAGAATGCACAAATGCATTAACCATCCAACCTGCCCCCCCTGCCAGACTCCAGTCAGCACTAATGCCTGCGTCCTGGCAAAACTCTCTGTGTTTAGCAAGAGCAAACAGAGACCATGATTCCAACCGCTGCCTGCAGAGTCTCTCTCTCTCTCCTGAGCCCTGCAATCCTGCTGGGGCTGCAATCACCCCTGTGCGTGAGGGGAGCTGCAGGCACCTCCCTGCTCTGCACTCAGGTTGCTATCTCGGTTGGCTCAGATGCCATGGGAAATATAGCTGTATCTCTGATGTTGCTATATCTGCCTCCCCGGGGCTGTCAGTGCAGCCCAGGTCCCCCTTTCCAGTGGGGCAGTTGGACATGGCTTTCCTCGCTGTGTCAGCCCAGATAACGCTCTGGTCGCATCTTGGCTTGGCAATGAGTGAATTGTGTGCTCAGTTCCTTGTCGGCTGTTCCCCTGGACGTTGCCCATCACACAGGCTGCTGCCAGTGCTGTCCGCTGGGGTATTCCACCTGACCAGTGCAGCTCCTCGCCAAGTTCTGAGCAGCCGTGGTCAGGCTGCTTACTCAGGCTTTCCGCTGGGCTGTGCGGCTGAGGTCACGTACTCCAACAGCCAGCCTTTGCTCAGACTCAGCACTAGTGAGTTGGGCGCCATTACCAGTTGTCACTTGCAGCTGGGGCTGTGTTAGTGTCTGCGAGAGGATCCAGCTCCCAAAAGCCCAGCCATCAGCTCTTACCAAGTGGTCTGGCCATTTTGCTACAGCTCAGCCCATTCTCACTTGGTCCAAGTTTGGGTTGCCACGTGACGTGTTATACGTGGCTCCTTTGCTTGGCCTTTCACAAGGGCTCCAATTTCCAACCCCCCCGCCCCCTCGTGGCATCTCTCAAGCGTTGCGGACACTCGTGTCTGCGGCTCAATTGCTAGCAGGCCGAAGTCTCAGGCCTCAGAACTCGGCATCTGCTGGAACTTGCCCCTTGGGGTGTGGCCCCATGCTACACACACATTTCCTCTCCGATCCCTACCACTGACAGCACCAGGGGCTTTCCCATCTAGCCATCCTGCTGGAGCTTCAGGGCCATGGGGCCTCATTTTGGTACTGATGCTATTTAATCTGTGTCAGGCATGGCTCTAACACACAGGAATTCAGCAGAGCGACTTTGCTCAGGTTCTGCACTGAAGGTTGCTAAGGCAGGAGTTCGGGCCCATCTTGTAGGGCACTTCCAGGCTGTGTGGTGCAGCAGCAGCAACGAAGCATTAGGCTGACGGCAGGTGCTGAGTCTTTGTTTCTGCACAACATTAAGAAAGAGGAAGTCACACGGGCACTGTTGGTGACTGATTTTAGTAACCACATGCAAAGCAGGCCTAGCTATATATACGCGCACTGTTGCTCTGTTAAGATCTGGTGGCTTCTGCAATCGAGGACCGGGAGACTCACTGTCCAATGCCCATTACACAAGGCGTTCTGAAGATATTTTCTAGAAGGGCATGGTGCCCCTGAACTAGTACTGGCCCTTGGACTCACCCTGGAGCATAAACGTGTTCTCCCAGAACCTCAGCAAAAGTGTGAACCTTCTGGGTTACAGTTAACTGCCTCAGGGGTAGCATGGAACATACAAACACTTTGCGCAGAGCTCCATAACACTGGTGCTCTTTACTAAATCACACACAAGAAATACACAGATTAGGGTCGTTGATTAATTGCCGTTAACTCACGCGGTTAACTCAAAAAAATTCATTGTGATAAAAAAAATTCATTGCGATTAATTGCAATTTTAATCACACTGTTAATCAATAGAATACCATTGAAATTTATTAAATATTTTGGATGCTTTTCTACATTTTCAAATATATTGATTTCAGTTACAACACAGAATACAAAGTATACACTGCTTACTTTATATTATTATTTTTGATAACAAATATTTGCACTATAAAAATGATAAACAAAAGAAATAGTATTTTTTCAATTCACCTCATACAAGTACTGTAGTGCAATCTCTTTATCATGAAAATGCAACTTACAAATGTAGAATTTTTTTTGTTACATAACTGCACTCAAAAACAAATCAATGCAAAACTTTAGAGCCTACGAGTCCACTCAGTCCTACTTCTTTTTCAGCCAATTGCTAAGACAAGCAAGTTTGTTTACATTTACCGGAGATAATGCTGCCCTCTTCTTATTTACAGTGTCACCAGAAAGTGAGAACAGGTGTTCACATGGGACTTTTGTAGCCGGCATTGCAGGGTATTTACGTGCCAGATATGCTAAACATTCGTATGCCCCTTCATCCTTCGGCCACCATTCCAGAGGACATGCTTCTATGCTGCTGATGCTCATTAAAAAAATAATGCATTAATTAAATTTGTGACCGAACTCTTTGGGGGAGAATTGTATGTCTCCGGCTCTGTTTTACTCACATTCTGCCATATATTTCATGTTATAGTAGTCTCGGATTACTCAGCACATGTTCATTTTAAGAACAGTTTTGCTGCAGATTTGACAAAACACAAAGTAGGTACCAATGTGAGATTTCTAAAGACAGCTATAGCACTCAACCCAAGGTTTAAGAATCTGAAGTGCCTGCCAAAATCTGAGAGGGACGAGGTGTGGAGTATGCTTTCAGAAGTCTTAAAAGAGCAACACTCTGATGCGGAAACTACATTAGCCGAACCACCAAAAAAGAAAATCAACCTTCTGCTGGTGGCATCTGACTCAGATTATGAAAATTAACATGCGTCGGTCCGCACTGCTTTGGATCATTATCGAGCAGAACCTGTCATCAGCATGGACGCATGTCCTCTGGAATAGTGGATGAAGCATGAAGGGACATAGAAATCTTTAGCACACCTGGCACGTAAATATCTTGGGACGCCGGCTGCAACAGTGCCATGCGAACACCTGTTCTCACTTTCAAGTGACATTGTGAACAAGAAGCAGGCAGCATTATCTCCTGCAAATGTAAACAGACTTGTTTGTCTGAGTGACTGGCTGAACAAGAAATAAACCCTATCTGCATTTCCCCCCATTCAGCTCCTTGGGAGGCCATCTTCAGGTAGATGGGTCCCCCCACATTTTTAAACTGGTGAAAAATGACCAGAAAGAGAGAACACATACACACACACACACCAGCTTCTGCCCTTTATACCTGCAGTCAGGTGAGCCCCAGCAGGTGCCTTTGTTGCCAGACAACCACTCCCCTGACAGACCAGTTTTCCACGGTAAAATCCAGCCTTTTGTCCAAGGGGCTTCCTGTTACAATGGAGGCCCATCACGATTTAATGTACTTCTGCTGTCCTAGGTGGAGGCGACAGCAGCTCATGGTGGATACACAGAGCCCAGGGGGCATTCCTGATTAAGTTGTACAGGTTGGTTTCCAAAATCACTGCAACACTAGAGCAAGTAGAGCAGGTCAACATGGTTTTGAACGAAAAAATCCTGGCTGGATTTTATCGGAACTCCAAGAGATCAGGTCCATTTGGCTAGAAGTTTTCAGTGGAAAAATGATGCCACTTTCCAGACAAAACATTTCAGTATTTTGTGTTTCATTTTGAGGTTTGGAAACTGAAAAACAACAACAAAAATGGTTTCCAATTTGGTTTGAGTATTTTGGGGACTTCCACTGGTAAAAGGGGTGTTTGCCACAGTTGTACCCAGTTCCTGCTCCTTTGCATCTCAGTGATTTGTAGTTTCTGCACTGGCATCAGGGCTGGGTGGTGAGTACTTGTCTCTGTTTGATAGGTTTGTCATGTGCCTTGCAGACCAAGACACTGTCTGGGAATGGCACACATTGGTGGGCATACTGGCAGAGGTCACTGTCAATCCTCAGCGCCCCCTTGTGGCAAAACCAGGCAACACAGCAACTCTGCTTCAGTTTCCCTATTCCTTTGATGTACCAATTGCCATCTAGCCTGCTTGTTGGGTCTTTGATGTCACCTCAGCTTTCTGGCCAGATTGTTGCTAGTTCTTTCCCCTTTCAGGATGGTAAAGAGTCCACAACGTCAGGAGGCCAGATGCCCTAGATGAAGGGCTCACAGTCCCTGGCCTCTTTGGGCCTGGCTTGCTTTTTCAAGGCTTTAATAACCCAGGTGTGAGGGCCTGGGACGTAGGCAATCTGGCCTAGCAGTCACAGCTGGGGTGGCGGCCACACATCAAGGATGGCCATGAGGCGGCAGTCAGCAAGCAGGGACTGGATTAATCACTAGAGCCATGATCAATAGGTAAGTGTCAGGGTCAGGCAGGGGTGGAGAGCTGAGGCTGGGGTCAGAGACAGAGATCAGGAAGCCAGGCACAGTCTGGAGCCAGAAGTCTGTGTTTCTATCCAGACAACTTCCTGGGCCACCCTCCAGGCTTAAATAGTGAGCATGGGCCAATCAGAAGCCTGAAGGGTGCTATCACTATGGCCCCTTTGGGCAGTACTTCCTGTGGTGCCTAATCTTCCTGTGGTGCTCAGCATGGCCTCCTGGTGGATCTCGGTCTCCCACCCTAGTTCCTTGCAAATGGCTGGACTATTTTGGCTGCAACTTCCCCCCCAAAGTTCAGCCTGAGGCAGGCACCCTGCATGGACAATTTCAGCCCAAGTGGATAAGTTTGGTAAAGCTGTAGGGAACTGAAAACAGGGCCCTGTAACAGGACGCGCTGGGCAACCTTAATAACAGGTGGTGCTACCAGCCCGGTCCACCCTGTGAAAAGTCCACTGCTATTTTCCTGTGTACGTTTCTCCTTAACTTCATCCCATTGCTCCTAGTCGGACCCCCTTCTGTCTGCCCTGCCTTTGGTTTGCTCCCACTCAGATCCCTGCGGCTGGGGAGTGTGGCCCTGCTTAGCCATTGCTTCTTAGGCAAGCTAGGCTTTCTTCTTTCCTGACCAGGAAGGGCTGAGCTGCATTGCACATACCCTGGGATGAGGGGTAGGGGCAGAGGGTGTGCTGCTGTAACACACGTCAAACTCCGATAGTGCGCTCTGTGGGCACATGATTCTTGCTCAGTGCTGCTAGAACAAACACCTGCAATCAGAGCAGCAAGAGATTCAGGGTCTGTCTGGAGCAGGGCTCAGATGGAATTGTCTCAAACACAGTTTAACGTGGCGACTCAGTAGCCTACTACCACGAGCCCCATGGTTAAAGTGCTCTGCTCCCAGCGGTCAAGGCCAGACCTACCACACAGAATACCAACAAACTGCCGCTAATTTCCTGTAACAGTGTCTGTCTGGTACTTTGAACCAGGCTTTAGTTAAGCATTAGCTGCTCTCGAACGCTTTAAAGCATAAACTCCAGGCAACCACCTGTAATGCACAGCAGAGTGCCAGGCTCCTCCTCAGAACAGGGCTCAGACTAACTGCCCCTGGGCCACAGCAACCCCAGCCACCCAGGCACACTGCGTCCCGACATCACAACCTCTAGGGAGCACAGGCTGTGTGTGTCTGGCTGCGTGTTCTGGGAGGGTGGGGGGCCAGCAAGTTGAGACACTGTGAAAACCTCAGTGAGCAGTAGAAGCTCACAGCACGCCCCTGGTGCATCTGCCACTTTGCAGCATGACCGGGCTGCTGCTGCTGGGCCTGGCATCATCCTTTGATCTAGGAGATTTTTGACTGAGTCCTTGGGCTTTTCCTCACAACTCTGGCAGCTCTCAGCAGGCTGGGCCCAGGGAAAGGGCTGTCAGGGGCTCGGGTCCTTCCTTCTTTTTGAATATGGTTCCTGACACCTAACCTGGAGCCTGGCCGGCTCAGTCCTGGGGATGGAGGCCGTGTTGGGCCAGTCCATCTGGCCCTGAACTGATGCCAGGAGTCCTTGGAGGAAGCCCTGGCCCCGCCATCCTCTGCCTTCAACCAGCTCCTTGCTCCAGAGATGACGGGGGTAGGTGATGGATTCTTTGGGGCTCAGTGTGCAGGGATCAGCTCACCAGGGTGGGAAGGCTCCAGGGGGGAGGGGGCACAGCAGGGGCTCCCAGGGGGGAGGGGGCACAGCAGGGGCTCTCAGTGCCCCCTCCTGGTCACTGCTTATACATCCACCCAGAAGCTTCAGCAACAGACTCTGGGAGCCTGGGATTCGAAGGCAGGGCCATGTGCCCGCAGTGCCTGTATAGCAGGGCTCATGGCTGGGTCTGGAGAGCACATCCATGCCACTCGTTCCTCCCCCGCCCGGGACACGAGCCGGAGTGGGATGCTCTGTGGCTCTGCCATGGCTGCCCTGCAGTGCCCCCTGCAGGAGGCAGCCATAACACAGACAAGGGAGACAGTGTGTCCTCTGGGGAGCGCCCCCAAGATGGGGCATTGCCTGGGTCTGCCCTCTGCACATCCCAGCCCGCTCCCAAATGGGGTCCCCCTCACTCAGTCCACAGGGTCCGCCCCTGCAGCGGCTCCCTTCTTCCCCTGTGCTTCTAGCACTCTGCATGCTCCTGGCCTCACCAGCATGGGCAAGACTGGGGAGACCCCGCTGCGAGCAGCCGAGAGCAGGGGCTGAGCCCTGCCAGCATCTCCTCCCTCCCCCTCCCATGCCTCGGGGTTCTGTGCCATCCCTGCCCCCCCATACACCACCTTCCCCTGCTTCTCCCCTCTAATCCCCCACTGCTTCTCTGCCATCTCCTTGGGGAGGGGGGCTGCTGTCCCATTTCATGCTGACCCCATCTCCCCCCACCTCTCCCTCACCATGTGCTGTGCATGTCCTGGTGCTGCATCCTCTTTCCTGGTCCCCACACCTGCTCTCCTTGCTCCCCTCAAGCTGACTGCGCCAGTCTCCGCACCATGCAGGTCACGCAGACATGGCCCTCTTTGCCGCCCGCTTGGCTTCCTCAGCTCCCCCCGGCTGCCCATCCCTGCTCCTATTCCAAGTCCACCTCAATGCCTCCCTCTGGTTCCCCCACACCGAGCGCCCCTCCCCCAAATGCTTGTCCTGCCTTTGGAGTGGCAGGGTGACACTGGCAGCTCCTCAGGGCAGGCACCCAGCCTGGTAATGCAACCCTGCTCCTCAGCTGGAGCAAGAGCCATCCCCTACCCTCAACAAACATCTGCCCCCCAAGAAGTTGCCCCCGCCCTCCCCATGGAGCTGCCGAGGGGGGAGGGGTGTGATCAGTGTGGTATATTACCAGTACTTGGTGTCTCTTTGGCCTGGGCTGGGTGATGGGTCTAGGGCAGCTCCTGCTGGGCTGCAATGGGGATAATCCCAGGGGTGAAAGGGCTCCAGGCAGAGCCCAGCCTGGTATTCCAGTGCCCGGGAGCTCAGATCTGTCAGTGGGAGAGCCGAGCTCTGAGGCTAGATAGAGCTCTTCCTCAGCTGGCAAAGGGCCTCAGGCCAGGGTAAGGCAATCCAACTCCATCACTTGGGGTGAAAAATCCACCCCCGGAGCCTTGTGTGAAGCCGACCTCCCCCTGTGTGGACAGTGCTCTGGGGACAGACTCCTTCCAGTGCCTGCCTGGTGGGGGATTAATAGCAGCGCTGGGAGGACCCGCCCCATGCCCCAGTGGCTACACTGAAGCACTGCAGTGCAGTAGCTGTGCCTCAGTAGCGGTTTGAGTGTAGACGTAGCCTCGGGGCGTCACAGCTGAACACAGGGTGGAGAGATCATAAATGGGTATTGCAAGGGCCCATGCCAGGTGATGGGGCCTGCAAACACCTCTGGCTCCGGGTACCTTTCCCAGCCCTGAAGGAGAGCTGTGTGTGGCTCAAACCTTGTCTCTCTCCCCATCAGATGTTCCCTCCCCGACCTTGTCTACTGTAGGGTGACCAGATGTCCCGATTTTATAGGGACAGTCCCGATTTTTGGGTCTTTTTCTTATATAGGCTCCTATTACCCCCCACCCTCTGTCCCGATTTTTCACATGTGCTGTCTGGTCACCCTAGTCTACTGGGACCCAGCGTTGTGCTAGAACGCTGCCCTCTGGTGGCTATTTCCAGTCATGGGAAGGCCGGTCTGTGGCTTACACACAGGACTCGGACCCAGGACTCCTGGGTTCTTATCCTGCCTCTGCCTTTGCCTCTGCCTGGCTGCATGGCCTTGGGAGCCTCTTGCCTTCTGTGGCCTTGGGTCCCCTTCTGGAGAATTGGGATACACATGGGTCTGAGTTCCCCCTGCCTGCGCAGTGCCCCAAGCAGGGGCTGGGCAGAGAATTGGTGATCTGCAGGCCTGGCATGGGGGGCAGCAGGCTGTGCCCAGGCTCCTGGCCTGCAGACTGTAGGAGTGCCCTAACCCTTCTCTCTTGGCCCTGCAGCACCCAGTCAAATCAAAGGCCGAGCCATGATCCGCCTCCCAGCCAGTGAGGAGGCCAGCAGGAATGCCACGTTCTCCGGCTCCTGGCTGAAGTCTTACCTCTGCAGCCCAGTGACCACACTGCTCCTCCCCACACTCTACTCCACGGTGCTGCTGGTCGGACTGCCAGCCAATGCCCTGGCTTTCTGGGTGTTGGCCACCAAGACCAAGAAATGCGCCTCCACCCTCTTCCTGCTCAACCTGGCCGGTGCCGACCTGATCTTCACCTTCCTGCTGCCCTTCAAGATCTCTTACCATCTGCTGGGCAACGACTGGCTCCTTGGGGACTATGCATGCCGTGCCCTGGTCACCCTCTTCTATGGGAACATGTACGGCTCCATCCTCTTCCTCACTTGCATCAGCCTGGACCGCTACATCTCGCTGGTGCACCCTTTCCTGTGGAGGGGCTCCCGGCATGTCTGGCAGGCGGCGGGAGTCTGTGTGGGTGTCTGGCTGGCCGTGGGGCTGGGTTTGAGCCCGCTGCTGCGCTACCGCCATTCCCAGCACGTCCCAGAGCTGAACATCACCACCTGCCATGACATCCTGGAGCCGGACACGGAGCGCGACCTGGCCTACTACTTTCCTGCGCTGGTGGTGTTGGGCTTCGCCGCACCCTTCGTGCTCATCACCATCTCCTACGGCTGGGTGCTGCGGCGGCTGCTCCACAAGGGGCGGCACTATGGCCGTGTGGTACGCCTCCTGGCCCTGGTGCTGCTCGTCTTCACCCTGTGCTTCACGCCCAGCAACGTGCTGCTCTTCTTCCACTACCTGCAGCCCCAGCCCGAGTGGCACAACCTCACCTACAGTTGGTATGTGCTGGCCCTGGCCGTCAGCGCCTTCAACAACTGCCTCGACCCCTTCATCTACTTCTACGTCTCCCGGGACTTCCGGGCCCAGCTCTGGGCCAGGCCCTGTTGCCGGATGGGGCATAACAAGTCCTCCTCAGGCAGGGCCTCCGAGAAGCAGGTGCTGCCCCAGAGGTCCAGTGAGCACAGCCAGCCCTAGGCCAGGGGAGCCTTCAGGCAGTGGGAGGGGACTAGGAAACTGCTTTGTGTTTCCCCCACCACTGCCCATGGGGCAACCAAGCATTTGGAAATGGCTTGCTCCCCAGCTCTGCCCCCAGCGCTTCCTCTGTGGCGCAGGGCCCACATCTCACCCTGCCCCAGCTCCGGGCGAGCTGCACAGAGGGCACCTCCAGCCATGCCATGGGTGCCATCTCAGGAGAGGGAGACAGGGACCAGGAGCAGCACTGACACTGCCTCCCTCTGGGTCCTTGGCTGAGTTCCTTCCCCTTTAAGCGGTGCTGCCATACCCCATGGGGCTCGGTACCTAATGCACATCAGTCCCTCAGTATCCTCAGGCTCTGCATGCTCCAATGAGCTGGACTCACCAGCTGCACCAGGGTCCCTGTGGCCTCTGGGGGCACACACTGCAAACCGGCAGCGTCCTGGACGTCCAGACATGGCCAGGGTCAGGGGTGCACATGGAGACATGGGCCCTGGTTACTGAATCTGGAACTCAGCTCCCACACTGGCTGCTGCCCCCTGTCACGTGTCAATGTGCTCCCATGTTGTTGTATTAACAGTGTGGAGCTGCGCTGAGACGTGGCGAGGGGAACGTGGCCAGTTTGGCAGAGGGACTGCTGGCCCCTGTTCAGTCTGTTTGGAATCAAGGGGGTAAAATATTCACTGGTGCAATGTTCAGTAGTGGGGTCGTGTTTGTGCTGTCATTAGGTTTCAGAATCCACCCTCATTCAGATGAGGGGGCAGTTCCTCCCACTGGGAGCTGTTGTTTCAGGCTGGCTGCAGACTCAGGCAGGCTCCCTGCATTGGCAACCCAGGCTCCCTTGCAAACAGGAGGCTGAGATCCTGGAACAGGTGTCTGCAGCATGGGCCCCGCTCCCGGCCGTGTCCATTAAACTAAAGGCAAAGTGATTTTACCCTCACCGTTTTCTGTGTCCTTGTGTGTCTTGTGTACAGCCCCCAGCTGGCACATGTCCTCCCCCAAGTGAGCCTGGGATAGTGGGTGGGGGAGCTGCTCCCTGGGAGCCCATCCCTCCCTCACCGCAGGGTGCTCTCAGCTCAGCCCCAGTGTGACCCTGAGAATCCCCCAGGGCCGACCCACACCTTGACCTCAACTCCATGCCAGTAACTCGGTGACCCACTGCAGCCCTGAACACCCCCAGTGCTGGAGCACAAACCTTGCTGTGACCCTCCTCTCAGCTTTGGCCCTGGGCTCCTGATGGGACCCTCAACCCCCCAGATGTGCCCAGGGTTCCAGATGGGAGTGCATCCACTGAGGCTCCTGCCATGACCGCCATCTCCCTGCTGCGGCCCCCGCTCTGCCCCTTTCCAACATCAGCATCAGCCCTCAGCCCTTTCCCTTCCCCAGGGCTCCCCGCAGGGCGAGTGCTATCCCATGATGCAGCTCCCTGCTCCCCCTGCGACCTCCAGCAGGAGACCAGGGCTATGAGGAGACCGAGCTCCCACTGTGGGAGACAGGCCTGGAAGTTGGCCAGTCATTCAGAGTCCATGGCGACAAGTGTGACCTTCCCCGAAGGCCAAAACTGCACAGGTGTCTTGGGTCTTGCCTGTTTCAGCCCAGCCCTTCTGGGGCTGGGGCTGCTCCCGGACCTGGCCTGTGCTCAGGGATGCAGGAACAGCCTACAGGCCCAACTCCAGCAGCACTCTGGGCACCCCGTGGTGGTAGGCTCCTGCATCCATGTGCTGCAGCTGCATCACTGCTGCCAGAACAGGAGCTGCAGGCAGCTTCTCCTTCCTGCTCAGCCTGGGCCGGGCTTAACCCCTCAGGGCTCTGGCAGAAGGTGTCACTGAGGGTAGAGGCTTGGGAGGCACCTAGGGAACCCCCACCACACACTGCAGCCCCTGTACACCAGAGCAGCTCCTTCCTCTGCACCATTGCCCCAGGAGGGGAGCTTGCCCAGCAGGCAAGGGCCTGCACTTGCCCTGCCTCCTGTCCTTCCAACTGCGTTGTGTCGCCCAGCGCGTCACAGCTGGCTTCACACTTGGGGCCGAGTCAGGCTCCTAACCACACAGACAGACACGCTGCTGATCGACCACAGCTCAGGCCTTGGCAGCAGGGTCACTGGGGAACACAATGCCCTGGCAGCCCACAGCCCTCACCTCCCCCAGCGCGGTCTGGGGTAGCGCTGGTGCCAGGTGTGACGGAATAGGGAGTAAGGAGTATTAACCTGGTAATGTTGCATGGGAGTTTTACTAGTTTACTGTCTGCATTAATACTAGATGGTGATGGGAAATAAGGGTGTGACTTCACTGAGTGATGATACTTGATGGCCAGCACGTAAACGATGGCAGCTGTCCTTCGTACCCTGGGGTTGGGGCCAGGTGACACCTTCTGCCTGGGAAACTGGACAAAGGCTGGAGGAGGAGCTGGGGTGTGTGGCTGGGTGAGACTGTTGGAGGGAGTTTCAGTTGGGAGCTGGCTGGGGAGGGGGAGGCCCAGAATCTGGGTCTGGGCTCTCCACCCCCCAAGATGGACCTGACTGAGGGGTCCCGTTTTCTGTACCTACAAGCTCTGTTTTAAACTGTGTTCCTGTCATCTAATAAGCCTTCTGTTTTACTGGCTGGCTGAGAGTCTCAGTGAATTGCAGGAAGAGGGGGATACGGGGCCCTGACCCCCCCCCCCCACACTCAGTGACACCAGGCAAACACCCTGTGATGAAGTGGGACTGTTCTTAATGTTTCCTCTGAATACTGTGTGGGTGCCTCAGTTTCCCCTATGCATTTCTTAAGTCTCTAGGTGGTGGGGAAAGGCCAGTGTACATAAATCACTGACACTGTGTCCCTGGCAACAAATGGCCAGGGCTCCTTCCCCCTCTGCAAGGAAATAGCTAAAGGTGAACAAAGAGATCAGGTGACCTCCTGGCCCAGGAAAGAGACAAAGCCAAGAGAAGGAGGGGCTGGAGGGGGTTTGGGAGTTGGAGCTATCTGGGGACTAGGAGTGAGGGCAGACGTGGGTGTCTGGCTTTCTGTACCCCATAATGGACCCGGCCAAGGGGTCCCGTTCGCTGCTGGACCTATAAGCTCTGTTTTAGACCGTGTTCCTGTCATCTAATAAACCTCTGTTTTACTGGCTGACTGAGAGTCACGTCTGACTGCGAAGTGGGAGGTGCAGAACCCTTTGGCTTCCCCAGGACCCTGCCTGGGCGGACTCGCTGTGGGGGGGAGGGGGGGAGGAGGGGCATATGCTGAATGCTCCCAAGAGAGACCCAGGAGGTGAAGCCGTGTGAGCTTCTTGCCCTGAAGACAGTCTGCTCCAAGGGAGAGGAGGCTCCCCAAAGTCCTGACTGGCTTTGTGGGGAGCAGTTCCAGAGCATCGTCCAGGGACTCCGTGACACACCCCAACCCTCCTCTGCTCACCACTTGTGGACTCCGATGCCCTTCTGGCTCCCGCACCCCCCACTCCCTCCCAGCTCACCACACACCCTGGCGCCCATGCACCAGTCACAGCCTTCCAGCTGCCTCTGCCTGTCACACCTCATGGTTTGGCCCAGGCCCTGTTGCACAGCTCAGCCCGTGTTGTGGTTCACATGCCCTGGTCATGTCTGTGTGGCTCAGCTCCCATTAGTTGAACCCTCTGGCTGCAAAAAGAGTCTTTTATTTGCACTGCAGGTGGAGGGAATGGGTATAAATATCCAGGAACAGAGCCCTGTCCCGGGCAGCAAGTACACAGTATATACAGACACTATAGACACACGCAGAGTTGTGCTGGGCCATGGCGTAGCGCAGGTCAGCAGGGAGGACTCTTCACTGCCTGGCTGCTCTCTGACCTTGCCTACTGCCCCTAATTCCTCCTCGAGCCCCTCTTCTCAGGAGAGGTCCCAACGCTGCTGGGCCCTTCCCATGGGCACTGCCTCCACCAGCAGGACCTGAGCTCTAGCCACACAGCAAGAATCAGGGTGTTCTTCCATCTCCGATCCAGTTCTGGACCCCTCACCCCATGGGAGGGCAACCCCTCAGTGCAGGAAACTACATGACATGCAGGCATCATGCACATGGGAACCACAATCAGCCATCACATACACCTCCCACCAGAGCCGTAACTAGGTATTTTTGCGCCCGAGGCAAGAATTAAAAATTGTGCCCTCCCCCAGGGCTGGCTCTTTGGCGGCAATTTGGCGGCGTTTCCCTCAGTCCCTCTCGGAGGGAAGGGCCTGCCGCCAAATTGCCGCTGAAGAATGAATGAAGTGGAGGTGGTAGAGCCTGTGATTTTGGGGAGTCAACTCATGATTTTTGACTGCTTGGGATGGTAATGTTGCTTCCAAGATGGTCTTTGGTTCCAGTCCAGTTCTAATCCAGAGAGGGACTCACAGGTTAAGAGAGGAGGGAGGTGCTGGATATCAGCAGTGGCCACTAGGGATCAGTATGTGTCCTGAGAATGCTGGGAGTTCAGGTTTGCAGGGCAGGATCAGGGGTGGCAGGTTTGTAGAAATTTTGGTGGTGCCCAGAACCCACCCCTGCCTAAACTCTGCCCCCCCACCCGCCCAAGGCTCTGGGAGGGAGTTTCGGTGAGGGAGGAGGTCTGGGGTGCAGGCCCTAGGCTGGGGCAGGGGATTGGGGTGCAGGTTTGGGGAGGGAGTTTGGGGATGGGAGGGGTGCAGAGGGATGGGGTGCAGGAGTGAGGGCAGTGGGTTGTGGCTGCAGATGAGGGGGTTGGAGTGTGGGAGGGGCTCAGGACGAGAGTAGGAGTGTGGGGGTGAGGGCTCTGGCTGGGGCTGGGAATGGTAGGTTTGTGGTGTTGGAGGGGCTCAGGGCTCGGGCAGAGGGTGCGGTGGGGGGGTGAAAGCTCTGACTGGGGGTGCGGGCTCTGGAGTGGGGCAGGGCTGGGGATGAGTTTGGGATGCAGGCAGGCTGCTCTGGGACAGGGGCCAGAGAGGACTCCCCCCAGCCCTTTCCCTGCCGGCAGCAGCAAACTCTGGGGGAGGAGCCCCCCTTTCCTGCCCCCCCAGCAGCACACTCACCCCCACCACTGTCACTGCATGTGCTCCTAAGGCCCCTCTCAGGTCCAGGAATCACCCTCGCCTCCCCCGTGGTGAGTTCAGGGGGGGTGCTGCGTGCGCCTCCTCCCCTGCTGTTGCCCCTGACTGTAGCTTCACTGTGGGTGAGGGATGGGGCTGCCTCCTTGCCCAGCATAGGGCAGGAGCAGTGACTGTGGGCAGGGGGCCCCCCTGTGCTGCTGGAGGGTCCTATTGGAAAATGAAAGGGTCTGAGGGGGAAGGGCAGGTTCAGAGTCAGTCTGCCCTGGCAGTGGAGATGGGGGGCACTAGAACCCTGCGGCAGGGAGGCAGCATGGAGCTGCTCTGCTCTGGGGCAGGAAGGGGCGGGGGAGCAAGTCGGGGCCAGGGGACACTGGGGGAGGCGCGGGGGGGGGCCCAGGGATAGATTACCTGGGTTATAAATATCTCTGTGCCTGCCAGCAGCTTTTTTTATTTTCTCTCCACCACTTTCTACGCGCCCCCCACCCCCCGGCTTTGTGTGCCCGAGGCATATGCCTCACTAGCCTTGCCCTTGTTACAGCACTGCCTCCTGCACAGCCGGCACAGCAACTGTGCCATGGGAAACACACACAGCCATTGCACACTTCCTTCACAGCCAGCACAGGCATTGTGTACACTCGAACCACACACAACCATCGCACACCTCCTGCACAGCCGGCACAGGCATTGTGCACACTGGAACCACACACAGCCATCACATACACCTCCCACACAGGCACTGTGCCACAGGAACCACACACAGCCATCGCATACACCTCCCATGCAGACGTCATGCACACTGGAGCCACCCAAGACACACACACCTCCCACGCAGACACCCAGGCACAATGCATGTTTGCAAAAATTTGCCTCCTTCCTGTAATTTAGTTTCTGCTTTTCCCTTCTCAGTGACTTCCCTTTGCTTTGCACAATCAGTCACAATCTCCTCCTCCTGCCTCAGTTGCCCTGCCCATGACCCAGGGAAGGCTCCAGTCCCATGCCTTCCTGTGGAGGTATTGGAGCTGGCGTGTCCCCCTGCTGTGGGTGCAGTGCTCTGGGGGCAGACAATGCTCTGGCTCAATGCCTTAAGGGGCAGAGCCAACTTCTGCATCCCACTAACTGCCTTTAGCTGACACCACCTGGCATAGGCAAGAGAGCTGGAGGAACCCTGGGAGGGCAGGGCTGGAGGCTTGAATGCTGTGTCCCATCCTGGGGTGGCTCGCTGGGCTCCTCTGGGTTGGGGGAGGTGGGGACATGGCAGCCAGCCCTGGGAATGCCAGATGGGGAGCAAGGTAGGAGTGTCCAGAGAGGGCTCAGGTATCACAGGACATTACCTGCAGCTGGCACTGCCATGCAAGGTCACGTGACTTGCTGCCCAGGCCCGTCTGCCTGGCACTCGTTCTTCTTGAGGATGATGCTGCTGAGCTCCTGCATGAGTTTCTCGTTGATGGGCATGGGCAGCTGGGCACTCCTCTTCCTGGTGCCGTCCTGCAGGGGTTCAGGGCTGGGAGACAGCTCCAGAGGAAGGGGCAGCTGCGCAGGGCGTGGGGGGTTCCGGGTCCAGTTCTGCTCCCTCCCCAGGGCAGGCAGCGTGCGGGGTAGATCCATATTTCTCTCGAGTGAGGCTGTTTGGGTGGCTCTGAGCCCAGGGGACTTGTCCCACTCCGGGGTCTTTTCAGGCTCCAGGGTCAGATCTCTTTCAAGGGAAAGCGACTTGGTGAAGTGGGCGCCAGACGGTCTCTGCTCTGGGCTGATGGGCCGTGCAGAGTGAAGTGCTGGGGGCGCAGGCTGCTCTGGGAACAGGGCCGGCTTCTTTGATCTGTCCACGGCGGGCACCTGGGAGAGCTCGGCCAGGAGGCCTCCGTCCAGCCGCAGTGGGGCCAGCACTGGGAAGTCACCCACCTCCTCGTAGACAGGCTCTGTGTCCACTGCCTCCTCCTGCTGCTCCTCTACCGAGTCCTGGTGCATCTTCATGGGCTGGGCAAGGGCCAAGGGGAGAGAGGTGAAAGGACTGGGCATCATGCCCTGTGCCTCCTGAGCGAGTCCCCTGCAGCAGGGGCCCAGACCCAGGGAACACTGCACAGGACTGATCCCTCCACACATGGGCTGGGGGGCACAGAGAGAGCAAGTATCTATGGGCCCTCACTGTGCACCAAGCACAGGAGCCATGGGAGCAGCAGGTGGCTGCCGGGGAGTGAGGGCAGGGCCTTTCTGGGACGTCTGCCAGCAATGGGGGTGTGTGTGTGCAAGCCCCAGGTTGCTTCAGGGGGAGCTGCTGCGTCCAAGTGGCTCCTGTGCCTTACTCACATCAGGGAATCTAGCCTCCCCCAGGCCTGGGCTGGCCCTAGGCAGGAGGGGCTTTCCTGCCTCACTGCCACTCTGGGGCCTTCTCAGCTACCAGCTCTGCACATGCCCCAGACAAGGCTGGGAGCAGCCATGAGCTAGGACAAAGGGTGTGTCCCCTGGCCAGCTCCATCCCAGGCAGCCTCCCCCTCTGCCCAGCCTATCACCACCTTCAATGCCTATCAAGCCAGACTTTGTCTGGGTGAAAGGGGCCCATGTCCGGGCACCCAGAGCAGGGCAGAGGCCAAGCCCGAGCTGGAGTGATCAGCTGGATGGATAGAAGCTATTCAGCACCAATCGGAGCCATTCTGAGTGCCAGGCCCTGCCTCTCCCAGCCCAGCTCGGCCACGCTGCCTCCACCCCCGGCTCTTTCCCTGCTTGTGAGGAGACTCCGGCGGGGATCCAGACAGAGCACAAAGCCATGCAGAACCAGCCCGCCCCCCAGCTCTAGCCACCTGGCATGCTCCTTCCACATGCGCTCAGACCCCCGCGGGCAGCCCTGGACTGGCATGATGGGGCCAGCTGGCTCCAAACACATGGGAGGAAAGGGGGATGAAAACAGTCCTTTCCTGCTGACACCCCAGAAGTGCCCTTGGGGCGACCTGACCTGAGCAGTGACATCGCAGCACAGAGCACCTGGGGGGCTCTCAGCAACAGCAGGGAGTGTTAGAACGATGCTAACCCCTGCCTGGCGCTCGCTGGATGGGGCTGCATTGCCCATCTCTGGGCTGGGATGTGGCAGCTGTTGGACAGCACATGGTAACAGCCATTTGGGGCAGCAAAGAAAGGGGACTCCCATGCCCAACTGAAGGAGCAGGGGAATCTAGGGAGGCCAAGTGGACTGACCCAGATTCGAATTTGGCCAGGACACCAAAGCTTGAGAGAAGGGGCATGGGATCTCTAAGGAGTGCAAGTGGCTAGGGCCTCCACTTTCCAGTCCATGCTCCTCAGAGCTAGGTTCCCAGCCCATGCACAGCCTCCAGGCATAGCTCTGCACAGGGCATGCCTGGTTGGGACTATCAGGAAAGCAAATTGCCCATGGGGTGTGAGTGGAGGCCCTGAAGTGCAGTGGAAGTGTTGTGTCTGCAGCTAATCCAGAGCTCCCCGGGCTACCCAGGGCATGGCATGGCCCGGCAAGGCACACAGCAAGGCACCCTGCGGAAACATGCAACCCACATGCAGATACTTACAAAGAACATAGACAAAGTTCTTCGCGTGTGCAGGCGGCGCTAGAAACAGAGGGAGATGGGGAGAGTAAGCGACCGCCAGTGCAGAGGGGTCAGGCTGCAGCAAAGGGGAAAGCAAACCCCTCACGTGGGGCCAGGCAGGACACACTGCTATGCACAGAGGTGCACGGCTCACTGCGCAGCAGGGCTGGGACTTCTGCACAGACACAGCCCCACCCACAGGCACAGCCCCCCCGCAGTCACAGCCCGGGGGCAGTCCCCCTCACAGACACGGCCCCACCTACAGACGTGGTCCCCACTCACTCCATCCCCCCGTCCCTCTGTCGCTTGCTCTTCCCACCCTCACTCACTCGCTCATTTTCACCGGGCTGGCTAAGGAGGTTGGGATGCGAGAGAGATAGAGGGCTCTGGCTGGGGGTGCAGGCTCTGGGGTGGGGCCAGAAATGAGGAGTTCTGGGTGCAGGAGGGGGCTCCGGCCTGAGGGTGGATCCGAGGGGTTCAGAGTATGGGAGGGGGCTCTGAGTGAGACAGGGGGTTGGGGTGTGGAAGGAGGTATGGGCTCTGGGCTGGGGGTGTCGGTTCTGGGGTGGGGCCAGAAATGAGGGGTTCAGGGTGTGGGAGGGTGCTCTGGGTTGGGGCAGAGGGTTGGAGTGAGGGCTCCGTCTGGGGATGTGGGCTCTGGGCAGAGCTGGGGATGAGGGGTTTGGAGGGCGGGAGGGGGATCAGGGCTAGGGGAGGGGGTTGGGACACGGGGCAGGGAGTGAGAGCTCTGGCTGGGAGTGCGGGCTCTGGGGCAGGGCTGGAGATGAGGGGTTTGGAGGGCAGGAGGGGGAACAGAGCTGGGGCTCAGGCAGGGGGTTGGGGCCCGGGAGGGGGTCAGGGGCTCAGGCTCTGGGCAGCGCTTACCTCAAGCAGCTCCCGGAAGCAGCAGCATGTCCCCCCTCCTGCTTCTACCCGCAGGTGCGGCCAGGAGGCTCTACGCGCTGCCCCGTCCGCAGGCACCATCCCCGCAACTCCCATTGGCCACAGTTCCCAGTGAACAGGAGCTGAGGTGGCAGCGCTTGGGGTGGGGGCAGCGTGCAGAGCCTCATGGCTGCCCCTATGCATAGTAGCTGGAGGGGGATATGCCGGCTACTTCCCGGGAGCTGCGTTGCATGGAGGCTAGAAGGGAGCCTGCCAGCCCCCCTGTGCGGCGCCACCAACCGGACAGTCAACCGGTCAGCAGTGCTGACCAGAGCCACCGGGATCGCTTTTCAACCGGGTGTTCTGGTTGAAAACCAGACACCTGGTCACCATAGCTGCCCTCCCCCCGCAGACACGGCCCCGCCGGTAGCACACACACACACACCCCTCGCAGACGCAGCCTCGCCCGCCAACACTGCCCCGCAGGCAGCCCCCTCCCGCAGACATGGCGCCACAGGTAGGCCCCCTGCAGACGCGGCCCCGCCCGCAAACATGGCCCCACCTGCACAGTGCCCAGCCCCACTCACACCCAGATTACCCCCCGCCCAGCCCGGCCCAGCTCTCACACCCACAGCACAGAGAGGCAGCCCTGCACGACAGACACAGCCTGCAGCACCCCTGCGTGGTTCACTGGTTCTCCCGAGCCTGTCTGGAGCCGGGTGAGGGTGTTTGGAGGTGGCGCCGTGGGCTGGCAGCCTGTCACTGCAAGGCTCTGGGGATGCTGGCGCTGCCTTACCAGGGTCTGGTTGGCAGAGAGCATGGTGGCATCTGTATTGTCTCCCCGCAGAGGGATCAGGGGCATGGTGCCAAACTTCTGCTTGGTGAGGTCGGAGGAGGAGCGCCGTCTCATGATCACTGGGCGCAGGTCGTCGTGCTGCATGAGAGTGCCAACATGTCACTGCTTGGCGTTCCCAGCCCCCACCCTGCCCCAGGCCCGTTGCATGCCTGGCACTCCGGCTCTCACCCACCTGAGCCTTCAGAATGCTGGTGGTCCAGTCCCACAGCTCGGCCTGCCCCGCACATGCCAGGTACCTGCAGAGCCAGAGGAGACACTGGCTGGATTTTGGGGATCTGGCACCTGCTGCTACCCACAGAGGAAGGTGTTACCAAGGGCAGCTCGCTGTAATGACATCATCATTGCAGGGCCCTGCCTGCCTGGATCTCAGCTTCCCCAGGGGCTGGCTGAAGATGGGAAGTTCCCCACACAGAGGCCAGGGGGCTGGGAGCCCAGCCGGGATCAGCTAACCGCACAGCCCGGGGAGCTCACTCTAACTAGCGCCAATGCCAGCACTGTCTCCGTGTAGTGCTGAGAGCTTTGTGCACAGTCACAATCCGCGAACGTTCTGGCTCCCCCAGCTACACGGTACGGGAATGTGAGGGGAGAGAGCCGGCAGCCCAGCCCTGGCCCCCAGACTCCTTGGCTGTGGGGCAGTTACCATTCTCAGCCTTCATATTGCACAGCCACAGGGGTCACATGCCAGGCCAGAGGGACTGAAGGGGAAAGAAAAGGGAAGCGGTTTGTCTGGTGTCATGCAGCTGGCTTGAATCCCTAGCCAGGGCCGGCTTTAGGCCGATTCAGCCAATTCGGCTGAATTGGGCCCCGCACCAAGAGCTGCAGCTCACTTCCCCGGCCCCTCCTCCCCTGCCCTGCACGCCCCGCCCCCTCCCCTGCTTCCCGCGAATCAGAGATTCGCGGGAAGTCTGAGACGAAGCAGGGGCGGGCCAGCAGCATGAGGTAAGCTGGGGTGGGGGCGGGAGAAGGGCTCCGGGGTGGCGCGGCCCGTTCCGGCAGGCCCCAGCGGCTCTGGCCTGGCTCCAGCCCGGCCCCCGGGGCCCGGCTCCGGCCCGGTCCCCGCAGCTCGGGTCCCCCCCCCGGCGCAGCCCCCACGGCGGGGCTCGGGTCCCCCCGTCCCCGTCCCCCCCGCGGCGCGGCTCGGCTCCCCCCCCGTCCCCACCCCCACAGTGCAGCTCGGCTCCCCCCCGTCCCCACGGCGCGGCTCGGATCCCCCCGTCCCCCCACGGCGCGGCTCGGGTCCCCCCCGT